TTGAACAAGCGTTGATTTGCTGTTGTACACGATTTCAGTACAACAGCAAATCAGCGCTTGTTCAAGATTTAAAAAATATGACATCACCACAGGGTACGTGACCCCAGCATAGTTTTGACAAAATTTTGCAAAAAAAACAAAAATAATTCGCTTTTTTAACAACCTTAGAATGAACTTTTGAAGTTAAAACTTTGAGAGAATGTAGTAAAATTACCAGTGTTTGAAATGATGTAGATTTTATATTGTTTTTGTTTGTAATTTGCGAAATATTCATACTCTAGTAAACGTTGTAATAAATTTCCGTTAAAACTCTTGCCAACCTTGTCATAATAATAAAGGTACGTTTACACGCTGCGATTTGTCGGGCCGATTTTGCTCGCTGTATGTAAATAACCTGTCGTGAGTACTCGCGTCAGCACCTTGCGATTCACAAAATCGGGAGAAAAATCTGTAACGAAACCACAGATTTTTCTCACGATTCAACGATTTTTCTTCCGTTGTAAAGTTGTTGAAAACTTTTCGCACGCAGAAAACTATAACATGAACAGACGAGAGAGCGGACAGCTTCAATTGAACGTTTAAATCGCTAAATGTCGAAGAATTATTCATCGATTATTTACCAAAATCGGCCCGACAAATCGCAGCGTGTAAACGTAGCTTAAACTGAGTAGACTCGATGCACGCCCGAGCGCCACGCACGAGGGTAAAAATTTCAACACGCACTTTTGGGCAGCCTATGGTTTAACTTTAGGGCCAAGGCACAGAATAGGAAGTTATACCAGAAGCGTAACTCGAGCAAGTATTTGTCCGCGTTTTTACAAGCGATTCGTCATCAATCACGCCATCCTGGCTAGCACAACCGGCACTTTGTACCTAACAAATCCTGATAAAAACTTCCGGCTGTACTAGCCAGGATGGCGTGGCCTGACGTGAGCGAGTTAAAATTTTCGTGGACGTCAAACAATAAGGAAAACGACTAGAGTTACGCTTCTGGTATAACTTCCTATTCTGTGGCCAAGGTATCCAGATAAGCAAGCCAATTTGTTCACAGGCGCAATAGAGCGCTTATTATTATTATTATTATTATAAATTTCCAAACTAGCAGTAACAACTGAATTACTTTGGAATTACAGGGTATAAGAACATAGGTATTGAATCTATTCTATATTTACAGGTAAAAATATGTAAGTTAGATAAAAATAACGATAATAAACTAAAGTTTACTTATTATTATAAGCACGAGACGCAACAGGAATGAAACTGTTCGAAAAACGTTCAGTTCTACACCTAGGTACTAATAAGTTGGGATAAGACCTCAGATTATAAGTTTGAAGACTTTTAGGCGGTACTAAGGCATTCAGTTTATGAGTGGGTTCCAACATCTTCGAAAAAAGTCGCTTGCAAAGAATAGTTCTACGTTCGTAAAGAGTCATCAAGTTAGCTTTAAGCAAACATTCAGCGTAGATAGTTCCAGGGAAAATAATTTTTAATGCCCTTTTTTGTATTTTTTCAACTTGATCACTCAGGTAATGAGGAAGGCCATAATGCCACACCTGACAAGCATATTCGACAATTGGTCGAATATGTGTACAATAGGTTGAGATCAGAATATGAGAAGGTAAAGCATTTCTTTTAAGAAGGCGCAGACCGTACAAACGCTTCGCGGCTTTCTTGCAAATGTAGTCAATATGGCACTTCCATTTGAGGTCGTTCGAAAGGACAACGCCCAATAGTTTGGCCTCGGAAACGACGTCGACCTCTTGACCGCGAATGGTAATAGGGGCAAACGATGAAGTAAGCTTAGAAAATCAGACACGCAATTCTTTGGTCTTTGATACGTTTAACTTCATATTATTGTCTGATGACCATTCAGAGCAGCTGATGATGTTAGCGGGTAACTGGGAAGGGGAATTGTTTGATATTATTTCCCAAAGGCTAGTATCATCGACAAATTTAACAGTTTCATCCGCTACAGCCAAGTCATTTATCATGATCAAAAATAATAGCGGGCCAAGCTTCGTTCCTTGTGGTACGCCGGCGTTTAAAAACTTCCACTCAGAAAAGAACTGACCAACACGGGTTCTTTGTTGTTTGCCTGTTAGGAAGTTTGCGATCTAGTTGAGTAACACGGGATGAATTTCCATGTCTTTCAATTTTTTCAACAGAATGTTATGATCTAATCTATCAAACGCCTTGGAAAAATCAAGTAAACAAATCCGTATAGTGTTACCTTGCTTGTCAGCTGCTTCAAACCATTTATGTAGCATGTAGATTAATGCCATACTAGTGCTTGAACCCTTCAGCGAACCAAATTGCAAGGAATCAATTTTTTTTGAGACGGAGTCAAGTAGCCATTTGTAGGGAGAGGATTCAAGAATCTTGCTGATAATTGGTGTGAGGGAGATTGGTCTGAGTCAGAATCAACATCTTTAGGAGGCGAAGATTTTTGAACTGGTGTAATATTTGCTGCCTTCCATATTGAGGGAACAAATCCTTCACGAACTGATGAATTAAAAATCAGTGGCGTGCTGGGTACTATTTTTCTGGGGGGGGGGGCAGTCGGCTGGCAACTAATATGCACCCCTATAATATTACCCTTGATAAACGAGGGCCGAAGACACGAGCCGAGCGGCGCAGGTGTAAGGTTTGTCTAGGGGGGTCCGGGGCATGCCCCCGGGAAAATTTTTGAATTTAGAGTTTCTGAAATGCCATTTCCTGGACTTTGGGGGAAGATTTGACAGAAATCTGATGGTCAGGAAACGGCATTACAACGTGTCGAAATTTGAAAATTGGTTAGAATTTAGTAGTAGCACTTAAATTGGGCAATGCTAACTACTTCCAGCAATTAATCTAATCCCAATTCTATTCTCTACTGATCTGAATTCATTTACAACTTACAGCTCTTTTATACAATAACACACGGACCCCACGCATATGCATTTTAAGGTTTCCTTGCCTGGCTGCCAAGGCTGTTTCATCATTATCTCATTACTTACATTACTCATAATGTTTCTTGCGCAAACAACTAAATTTCGTACACAACTTTACATTATCATAACTTCAACTATCTAATTTGCGCCGCTCTCGTGATTCGTGAAGCATAATAAAGGGCATAATATAAGGGTATAATACCAGCAAAAAAGGGCATAATTCCCGTGATCGCTTCGAAGCCTGATCAATATTCCGGTAATGAGACATTGCGTGTGGTCACTGATCATGTTTCTATATGAACGAGTGATTTCGTGTGAGTCGTGAGGTAGCAAATACGGTTAGACAAAATAGCCTGCAATTTAATATACTCGCTCACTTTGTCGCCTATGCGCTTAGTCTGTTTATAAGTCTATAAACACATCTTTCCTTGGCGGAGTTAGTAACTATATTTCTTCGAATGCGTTTCTTCCCACCTACTTTCAAAATTCGGCGCGGGATCGGCGCCCCCTTTTCATTTTTGCGCCCCCCAAAAATTGCCAGCTGGGGGGGGGGGGCGTGGCCCTCCGCCCCCCCCCTGCCAGCACGCCACTGTTAAAAATAGAACACAAAGGTCGACACAACACTGAAGCGTTTTCTCGGAGAAGCCAAGAAGGAATTTCATCGGGACCAGCAGATGAATGAAGTTTAGATGATAATAGGGCCTTTTCAGTCTCTTCGACAGAGATGCAGAAATCATCTGGAATGTCATTTGTGGGAAGGGGGAGCCAGTTTAGATTGGGTAAGGTGGACCCTACAGCAACGAACTTGTCGTTGAGCAAATTTGCTAAATCGGCATCAGAGTAGGATTTACCTTGGAACATCATTGTAGATACATTCTTAGAAGACTGAAGACCGGCAATATTCTTCACCGCTGACCACCATTTATGAGAATCGGACTGTTGAACGCCCGCGATACTTTTATTGTAGTAATTTAGTCGTGCCTTCTTGCAAAGTGCATTGACTTTGTTTCGATAGAATCTGAACATCAGGTTATTGCCAGCCGCCCATGCTGTCTGCCGCTTGGAAATGAGAGATTTTATTTCGAAAGTAATCCAGGGCTTGTCACTAGAATCAATTTTGATTTGTTTCCAAGGCAAATGTTCGTTTATGATATTATCAACGATGGTGGAAAAATACTGGAACTGCTCGTCACAAGATTCCATATGGTGCAAAGGTAACCAATTAACTTTCGACAAATGATCGCTAACAATTCGACGATTGGTTGGGCGAGAGTCTCGTACTAAACGTGTAGACCTTGTGCCACCATAAGAGTTAGCTGGAAGAGGTTTAGGAAAGATGGAATTATGATCGGAATGTCCAATTGGAGAAATTACCAGGGCCGAATTATAAAATTTAGAAATGTTGGTAAATATTTTATCTAAAATATTCTTTCCTCTAGTAGCGTCTTTGACTAACTGCTTGAGGTTAAAGGAACTGCATAACTGGCGATGTTTAAATTGGTTAAAATCTCCGGCCAAAATAATTCCTGCACCGGGATTGGTGGAAAGGACAGAATCAATTGATTCGGTAAGGTGTGAAAGAAGGGCTTTATCGCCACTTCCAGGTGGATGGTACACGATTCCCAATACAATTGAATTTAAACCACGAGGCAAGCGGTGAGGTTTTAAGAGTAACCAAAGCGACTCATATTCGTGACTTTCAATCTCTTCAAGATGAATGAACGGAAGCATGTCCTTTACAAAGACACAGACTCCACCTCTTCGTCTGCCGTCGAAACGATCATGCCTCAGTAAGGAATAACCGCATAAATCTATTGCTGAATTAGGAACATTTGATGAAAGCCACGTTTCGGTAACAACGACAATGTCTGATGTATAGGATTTTACTGTAGCAGACAGTTCGTCAATCTTGCTGATCAGCGATCTTAAATTAGAAACAAATAAATTCGGTAGAGAAGAGAGTAAAGTTTGATACGCGATGGGTTATTCTCACAGGAATTTTTTGAACAAGAAGTTCAACGGGAATCGAACTGTAATTTTCATGTGATTCTCTCTCATTTTCTTTAGAATTTACTTTGCCGTCAGCCGGCGAACAAGATTTAAATGCGCCAACCATTCCGCTCTTCGAACATGAGGCAAGGGCGGGGGGCGCTCCAGAAAGCTCTGCCGAAAAGGACAGTTATTAGTATTGTCACACTCAGACATGCATTCGTCGCCGTCTAAGACAATAAATTCAGAGATATCAGCTGGTATTTGGCCAATGCACACATGCTGAGTAACTGTCTCAGTGCTAGTTGTATTATCATTCAATATATTTGATGGGTTTTCTAAAGAGGTTTCCTTCTTCTGAGTTATAAATGGCTTGGATATTTCGATAAGAGGCAAGCTTCCAAGCGATTTCAGCGACAATGGCTCACAGTAAGGGGGAGAATTAAGATTGCGGCGAGAGTAACTTCGCGAGACCTTAGCTTTACTGATTTTGTCCTTATTCATATTATGCTCCGTTAACTTCACTTTGTTAATTTCACATTTGTTGTCGAGTTTATTGTTGGTTATATTACAACTTGCTGGTTGGACATGAATTAAACATGAATTATCAAGGGGGCTTTCAACGCTGACAGTTTCGGGAATAAATGGTTCACCTGGTAAACAAATTCCTAGGTTTGAATTTGCAGTTTCTATCGATTTTATAGTGTCTATGATGCAGTTATAAGTATTAATTTGTTCAGGTTGGTTTAACAGGCTTTGTTCGGCACTCAATACACCATTGAATTTTTCTGAATTAATTTGCATAAGCGATTGTCTTAGAGATTCATTTATGACATCGCTTGATTTAAGTTTGTTTTCGAGACAGGTAATGGTATTTTTTAATTCGTTTATCTCCCTATTCCTTCCTCGAACCAAAATAGATATATCAGCCTCCAACCACGGGCAATAGGACAGGTGTAGTGTTGTTAAATAGAAAGTTAGAAATGGTATTATACTTACTCATGCATTATAATTATGTTTAAAAGATCAGAATATTCATAACTTCTTATTTTGTTTCATTAAAGGGGCAGTATCATCCCAAATCATGTTCGATTTTAAATGTGTAACAGACAGTAATAACATTTACTTACCCGAATATGAAAATAAAACCAATCAGTTTGATTTTTAATTCTCTTAAGAACTGTCCAAAAACAAAATATTTTACGAAAAATTCGTCCGCCATTAAGTTATTGGAGCCTGCAAAATCCGACCTGCGGTTAAGCGCTGTGACGTCATCTACTCAACACGCTTCTTTCCCGAAGGAGAAATTAATATTATCAAAGGCTTATACTAGGCTGTTTTTTGTTCAAAATTATGTCTTCTGACGAAAGCTACAGCTCCAATTTTGGAACACAATCATCTTGCGAACTCTCTTTTGCCGAACACGTTTCTTATGATAGCGGGGGTGATATAAATATGGAGAAAAGTGTGGATTTGTGCGAGGTCTTTGATACTTCAGTCGAACCTCTTGCCACTGGAGAAACAATACATGAAGAGTACTATAACTGAGAGAGAGCAAAAGCAGCAAACACTGTCTGCTAGATTGTCTGGTGAAACCTCAACTGACACCTGGTACGTTTTGGATTGTATTTATTCACGTTTTGGTTATATTTGTGACATAAAACAAACATGTGATGGCCATGTATTAAAACAAAACAAATGGTTACTGATCTCCTTATAAAATATTATTGTCACTTCCGTTATTGCACGAAACGTCTTCAATGAGAGATAGCTTAAAAATGACTGTGTTGCCAAATTGGAAATCCTACGCACGTAAGAAAACATTAATTTACACAAAGTTGTGGGAAATATACTTCAATTGTATACTTCAATATATATTAATGGTCCATAGGTGTAAATGTGGCAACTGTGTCCTGGCCTTTGTGGTAAAACCCAATGAATGTTGTTGTTCATGTGAATCTTGTAAGGAAAAAATGCTGGAAGAAAACATGCATGACCGCTGCTTAACTGAGCATCCAGCATTTGATATTGGGTGTTTGAACCATTGGGTGTTAAAACTTGCTGGTTTAAGTTACAAAACCCAAATAAAAGGCTGCCAAAATTATACCACTCGGTATACCGAAGGGAAAAAGAGTGAACCAGAGTAAGTATTTCAATGTGTATTTCTAGGCAATACCCCCCCCCCCCAATAGAAGAGATTTACTTTATGAACCCCCATCCCTCTGGATTTTTCTAACTGTCCCTGAGAACTAATGTTTCCCCCATCCCTATGGAAATTCTGGACAGTTTTTTACTACTAACATACTTTCAAGCATGATGTCAGTGTCAGGGACGCCGGAACGATAATAGGGCAAAGGGGGGCGGACGCACACCAAGGGCACCTTTACTACCGAAAAAAATGTTTTCACTGGCGACCTCCCCCCGGACATACAAAAATTTTCCGCAAAGCCAAAAAATTTTCCGCATACCTTAAATTTTCGCCATTTCTTAAAAATATTTTTCTAAATTCCAAAAATTTCCCAAAATTTTTATAAATATAAACTATAAATTACCTGAATCTCGTGATTTTCCTACAAAAAGCATCGTTGGAAATGTGATTTATCACGTATTATTTTACAACTAAAAGGGCACTTCTGCCCCCCCTGCCCCCCCTAGCAAAAGGCAAGGGGGGCAGCCGCCCCCCCTGCCCCCCCCAGTTCCGGCGTCCCTGGTCAGTGTTTTAAAAAAATAACTCGGCAAGATACAACATTGTTCACATAAACGAGACAGAAACCGTATTTTGGTGTATGCACAGCAAGGAAGGGGGTACCTTGTTGAACTGCTGGTACCGTATAGCCCCAGACAAGCTTCTCTACTTGCTGATATGAAACTGCCCTAAGAAACCATTCAAAAAGAAAATTTTTATATTAACATGACAGCTTTAAAATTTAGTACCGTAATCCAAAAACGATACTGTATGTCATTTGTGAGCTGTGTTTTGCACAGAAACACCAGGATTCATGATGCAAGATCCTTGTTTAGCTTACTTATAACTACATGTGTTATCACTTAGCTATAGACCTTTCATGTTTTCCTGTTCACATGATGGGATGTTTCACTACCTTGCTCATCTTTACAGGGATTCAAACATTACTAAATTCAGAATATGGTACTCAGATCATGACATTGTAACAGTTTGGCTGCCCCTGGCTGATGATAATTTCTTACCACTCATCAATCACCAGAGTAGGGAGAGCTCTTTTTCTCACCCACCTACTTGGTAATAATTAAATTGTGCATGACATGAATTTTTTGCCTTAATTTTACTGCTCTACTAGAAAGTACCTTTCAAGTGATGAAAAATGGTAGTTACAGTTTTCAGTGTGAACTTCACAGTATTGTGATGACTGGGGGGAAATTCAAACGAATCAGTCAGTCAGTCATACAGTAAACTTTCCGGGGGGTGTATAGGATTTATGTTGTTGGTGATTTATTGTACTTAGTGTTTTGAAGGTTATTTAGGCAATTTCAGTTGTCTTATTTCAATATTCTTTAGGCCTTTTGCCAAGTTCACAAAAATTTCGAGGAATCGTTGTCGTTATTGCAAATTTTATAACATTCGCATCTCGTTGGTTTTTGTGTTCACTTATGTAAAGGATCTTTCCCCAGGAACACCCGATTTTTCTTTAGCAGCGCAAATGCGCATGCGCTATCAAGCCGTAGATCAACGATGGCATGACGATGCTACGAAGGAGCGAGGCAGTGTTGTTTTCAAATATATAAATATTATCGTTAGGGTAGTGCTTATTATTCATTATTTAATCCTGTATAGCTACAGGTATTTTAATTAAAGTTGTCACTGAGACAATAGTCAAATGTAATATGGCCACTAAAAGGATCATGGGAATAATCCTAGTTTTAAATAAGTTTAGCATATCAGTAGTCTCGTGGGATGCTTTTAGCGACAGCTGCCAAAGCAAATGTAGTTTTAGAATATGCCAAATTTGGTTGTTGGTGAAACAATTTAAATTTCGAGTTGTCGCGTGTAGCATCCAGAGACGGATTTTCATATTTTCGTTCAGGGGGGTGGATAAATATCTGGGGAGGGGGGGTGCTGCTGCTTGCTTTGGCCGGGGCGTGGTGGCAATGCCCGGAAAGGCCAAGGGAAAAGTTTAGCAAAATTTGTTTTCTAGGCCTGCATGGCGAGATCTGAGACCATAATATTGGTAATTTTAAAAATTTAGTAGTAAGAATAATTAAATATGAAACTATCAAATCAAAATATATGTAATTTGCAGGGGTGCCAAATGCCTTTGGGGGGGGGGTGTGCACACCCCCCCCAGAAAATCCGTGCCTGGTAGCATCACAATAAATAAATAAATTATATCAGTTCCACGACGCACAACATTTTTGATGTGTTAGCCAGTTGTTTCAAAAGTCTCGCTATTCATGTGCGGAACGCATTAAAAACAATACTGTCAATAGATGAGATGAGATGAAATGCCTTTGGTAACTGTTTATTTTGTAGTGTAAGGCATCAGCTTTTCTAGGTTGTCGGCGACCCTATATAGTTTTTGCAGTGTCTTTTTCAATTTGAAACTTCACACTATCCATGGATCTCTAGTTTCTTATCTCATCTCAATCCAGATTTATTACAGTTTTTGTAATTTGAGCTATGACATCATAAGCTGTGCTAAAAGTTGCAGGAAAGACTTAAAGTGGAATATCTCCAAGAGGATTTGAGCAAATGAAATGAAACTTTGCACAGTTGTTTACACACTTTGCACAGTGGATAGTAGTAAAAAAACTGTCCAGAATTTCCATAGGAATGGGGGAAACAAGTTGTCAGGGACAGTTAGAAAAATCCAGAGGGATGGGGGTTCATAAAGTAAATCTCTTCCATTAGGGGGGGGGGGGGTATTGCCTAGAAATACACATTGAAATACTTACTCTGGTTCACTCTTTTTCCCTTTGGTATACAGAGTGGGCAGCCTTTTATTTGGGTTTTGTAACTTAAACCAGCAAGTTTTAACACCCAATGGTTCAAACACGCAATATCAAATGCTGGATGCTCAGTTAAGCAGCGGTCATGCATGTTTTCTTCCAGCATTTTTTCCTTACAAGGTTCACATAAACAACAACATTCATTGGGTTTTACCACAAAGGCCAGGACACAGTTGCCACATTTACACCTATGGACCATTAATATATATTGAAGTACACAATTGAAGTATATTTCCCACAACTTTGTGTAAATTAATGTTTTCTTACGTGAGTAGGATTTCCAATTTGGCAACACAGTCATTTTTAAGCCATCTCTCATTGAAGACGTTTCGTGCAATAACGGAAGTGACAATAATATTTTATAAGGAGATCAGTAACCATTTGTTTTGTTTTACATGGCCATCACATGTTTGTTTTATGTCACAAATATAACCAAAACGTGAATAAATACAATCCAAAACGTACCAGGTGTCAGTTGAGGTTTCACCAGACAATCTAGCAGACAGTGTTTGCTGCTTTTCACTCTCTCTCAGTTATAGTACTCTTCATGTCTTGTTTCTCCAGTGGCAAGAGGTTCGACTGAAGTATCATAGGCCTCGCACAAATCCACACTTTTCTCCATATTTATATCACCCACGCTATCATAAGAAACGTTTTCGGCAAAAGAGAGTTCGCAAGATGATTGTGTTGCAAAATTGGAGCTGTAGCTTTCGTCAGAAGACATAATTTTGAACAAAAAACAGCCTAGTATAAGCCTTTGATAATATTAATTTCTCCTTCGGGAAAGAAGCGTGTTGAGTAAATGACGTCACATCCGCCTA